AGAGAGAGAGAGAGAGAGAGCTTACTAAAGTAAAAGAAGCCAATCAGGCAGCCCGCGCAAAACGTCTTGGACTTTAGCAGCGTGAGCGGAATCAGCGGGTGCGGGCAGACGCGACTGTTCGCCTCCCAGAACGGGAAGGCGACGAAGCAGACGGCACCGACAACGAGCATGGCCACGACGCTCGGGTTGCCGAAGCCCCCTTCCTGCTTGGTGGCGATGGTGAGCGGGATGAGGATCAGGGCAAAGGCGGCGCTGAGAAGCAGGATGCCGACGATATCCAGCTCCCGCGCGAGCCCCAGCGCCACCGACGCGCCCAGGCCCCTAGCCCCTCCCTCGCGCCTATTCCTCTTATCATGCGCCAACAATCCCACGCGCTTGGCCTTGCGCTGGTTGAGAAACAGGCTGACGGCGAGCGGCGCAAAGGCGACGGGCAGCACGATGGCCCAGATGGCGTACCCCCAGCGCCACGACGCCGTGGCCAGCAGACTGTTCACGATCTCAGGGCCGACCCAGACCGTGACCAGAAAGGGCACGTCGGGCAGCGACGAGAAGAGGGCGCGCCACAGCAGGTCGCTCGTATCGGCGATGAAGACCTGCTGCAGTATCTGCGTGCCCGTCGAGCCGGCCGAGTAGAAGATCTGGGCCGACGCGAACGAGTCGACGCCGCGCGAGGCCGCCTGCTGCACATAGCCGAGCACGTAGAGCAGGACGGAGACGCTGAAGGCCTCGAGCCGCCCAAAGACGTCGCCGACCTTGGCCATGATGGGCTTGATGACGGCCATGACGACCCCTTGCACCACCAGCACCGTCGACACGAGCGCGTGCGAGCTGAAGGAGCTCGTGGCGAAGACGGACATGGAGTACGACACCTGACCCTCGAGCGACGTGGCGAAGGCCATGAGGAAGATGCTGTCGGGGGAGGGAGGGGGTGTTCGTGTTAGCGAGATGGACGGATTTTTGGATAGGTAAACCAAGAAAAGCCCAACATACCCAATGTACGCGACGATGAGGCCCCATTTGGACCAGGTCATGGCCACGGCCTCGATGGCCTTGACACCATCCTGAGCCTCGTTCTGCAGCGAGTCGGCAGACTGCGCAAAGCCGACACCGCCGCTCGGCTTCTGCTGCTCCTCAGCGGCGGGCCTGTCGTCTTGGACTGACGGGGTCTCGGCGCTCGTTTGTGCCATCCTTACTTCCCTCCTCTAGTATTACTCGACCCTGTGAGATTCCTTATGCACACGACGCACAACCCGTCCGTCGTGCGTCTTAAGCACAGCCTCGTCTAGTGTCGGGGCGTAAGCTTAAAAACAGGCAACCAAGACCTGTTGTCCCGGGGCACAGGGGAGCTGTTTTTCTTCTTCCTTTTCCTTCTACAAGGCCACAGGTTCCCGATGCATGCAGGGCACAAGGGGTGAAAATGGACGGGCTGTAAAAAGAGAAATAAACCTCGGACTGCAGTCATGAACGGTGGAGGCGTTGGCCATCCTTTTATTATAAAAAAAAAAA